ATATGAAGTGGGGAGGAGTATTTTCGAATGTTACTGTTTTAAAGAGTATTAGCTTCTTGTACTGATATTTCAAGGCACTCTGAACATGTGATTTTTTATTTAAGCAGGCCACATCAGAAATAGCGTACTTACCCTCTTAGAAAGTAAATTACTATTTTATCCTCCCTGTCACTGGCACCCCCTTCCCACTCTTTTTCTCCGGTTGTAAACAGTTGAGTTTTTCTCCCTGAGTCACTTGGTGGGGTGGGGGCACAGGACGCCTGTCCACCAAGGAGGCTCATCCCAACAGCAAGAAAAGCGGGTGAAGGCCGGTCCTCCCCTCAGACAGGGAAAACATGTCATGGCAGTTTGAAATGCCCCGTGTTTTCACCTGTGTTTGCAGCTTAAACAGTACTCAGCAGCCAAACTACTCATTTAGGGTTTCTTCTCCCCTCCTTTTGAAGGGAAATCATTTGAGCTACCTCAGATGCATAAGACACAGCTTCACTCTGCAACTTCCCAGGTAAACATGTCATCTTTATAGAGGTGAGCAGTGTTTGCAGTCCTCCACTGAGCAATCTCAAGAGAGAACAGAAGGGCAAATTACAAAAGACAGGGTAACTCAAGTCCTTTTGCTTGGTGCAATTCTGAGGTGGCTTTTTTTTTTAAGAGACAGGGTTTCTCTGTGTACCTCTGGAGCCTCCTGGAACTCGCTCCTGGACCAGGCTGGTTTCGAACTCACAGAGATCCACCTTCCTCTGCTGAGTGCTGGGATTAAAGGTGTGAGGCTAACGTGGTTTTTTAAGTTAAGGCAGTGGTAGTGCACATCTTTAATCCCAGCACTCGGTAGTCAGAGGCAAGAAGATCTCCAAATTCAAGGCCAGCCTGGTCTATAAAGTGAGTTTCAGAGAAGCCCTGCTTCAAAAACAAAACATAAACACTCACAAAGACAAACCAAACAAAAACCACGGGTAGAGGGGATGGGGCCAGGAAGCGCTTCTTCTAAAACAGCATCAAACAGATACAATCAAACCACCGTACTTATACTTGGCATTCATGAAGGACACTCATGAGGCAGGTACATTCCAAATTGGTATGTGGCTAAGCTAAATGCTGAGTAACTCCAAAAAAATCTTAGAAAATAACCTTTTGAAGTGATGGAATGAGATACTCTAGTAACTTTCACATACTTTCTAAAAAGTCATTTAAACCCACAAGCTATTTGCCTTTCTTTCTTACAGCAGGGGTGTTTTTTTGAGACAGGGTCTCTGCAGCCTGCTGGATCTGGAGTGTGCTAAGTAACAGACACACACAGACACAGACACACACACACACACACACACACACACACAGCACATGTGGAGGTTAGACAACTTTGGGGAGATGGTCCTCTTCCTGTCAGAGGATGTGGAGACTGAGCCCAGGTCATTAGTTAGCTGAGCAGGTTTTACCCACCAAGCCATCTCACTGGCCCGGCTGAGCCTCCTCCCCCAGCCCGTCCTAAGTGGGCTAAGAAAGTGAGCAGAGCAAACGCAGGGCCTTAAGCACGTTATAGCAGACCTTCATTCCCACCCCTAAAGCACTCTTTCACATAAACCACGGCCCTGAGAACCGAATCTCACAGACTAAAGCACTAGAACTGGCTCTATTCAGAAAATGAGAAGTGAAAACATCCCCACAGAAAACTCTTTTAAAGACTGTTAGAACATTATGAAGACAATGTATACCTAACAAATGTATTAAATCACTAGATCACAATCGGTACGCCAAACTATGACGCCTACGGTACACAGTTCACAGTAAGTTCTTTGTACTTGGTAAAGGTTACAGGGTACCAGAGTCAATAAAACAGCCCTGAGAAGTAGAAGCCCCCCTTGTAAGCAAAGATATTATAGAATGCTAATTCAGGAAGCTATTCAGCAGCTTATAAAAGAAATAGGAAGTTGTTGACCAACTACTTGAAGAACTATTTCCTGCAGGAAAACCTGCACAAGTGCTGAGGTATAAAGAGAATTGATTACTTTAAAACTCAAAGTACTGTGGTGAAACTGCTTTCAAACGTCAAGTTTGGTGACAAAGATATGGCATCACCAGCAACTAAGGCTTTTTAGGAACAGCATACTCTAGAGTCTGGGTCCCTGTCCAGAGGTGTTTGTACTGCAGACAACACCCACCCCCCCCACCTGCCAATATAAAGTCCAAGGCTCTAGAGCTCACTGGCCTAGGATGGGCCAACACCAACCATGGTAATTAGGAGGCCTTGGAACTGGAGGATGGACCAACAGACTTCAACACTCATTTTATTCCTCTACAGTCACAAGGCTAGTTCAGATCTTCCTTCCACGGCTGGCTGGCACCCTTTGGAAGGTTTTTATTACAGTTGCGTATTTATGCACCCGTGTGTGCATTTTCGAATGTGGACACACCACAGTTCTGAGTTTGGAACATGTGAAGATGATTTGAGGAGCGAGTTCTCCCCTTTCATAGTATGGGTCCTGGGGCTCACATTAAAACTGTAAGCCATCTTCAGGGCCTCACAGGAATCTGCAGACAAAAGTATTGATTGAAGAGAGATGGATTCTAAAAACTATGATAAAAATTAATTTTGACACAACACTACTTGGCATCAAAGCTTGGTTTTCCATCATCTCTGACTCAGTCAGGGCAGATATTAATTTCATTCATCTGTTTGGTGCACAGCAGCTCTTTCTCTTTATGGCAACTACACAGTACCCAACAGCAGGGGAGGCCTACATGGAGAGAAAGTTCTGTTTCACAGCACTTTCCCAATCTGCATATTGTTCGTAAGGCATTTCCTCTTCAGAAAAAGCAGCTTCATGAGACTACAGCACCCACCTCCTCCAGCCAGTTCTCAAGAGGCCTGCACAGGATCCTTACCACGCCCAGTGACTCAGCTCACCTGCTGTGAGGGTTCTAGTCACCCCTCAGGGTGGGTGAACCTCTGTTCCTAAGAGCCTGATGTGAAAAAGCTCTTGCAGAACCCAAATGCCTCATTCACCACAGAAGTGGCCCTGACTCCCATGGGCAGTCTCAAAAGCAATACGGTGTTCTCGGATCCCGCCAGGGTTTGCTTCCCAGGCAAAGCTTTCCCCAAGCCTCCTATGGTGGGCAAGTCTTAGTCTGGTCTGGCTTACCTTCTTCCTAGCCCCCATAAAAAGAGGTGAGGATGCTGGGGGGGTGGAGCTAGTGTGGAGCACCCCTCCTCAAACCCACACACCCAGCAGTTACTTGCCATAGGAAGAATTACAGAAAAAAATTTAAAGAGTCCACAAAGAGGTTTATTTCAGTTCAGAAAAGATCACTTCCTCAAACAACCAAGATGCAGGCAGAGGTCACCAACAAGCAACTTAAGGAAAACACAAAAGAGTAAAAGCGGCATAAACGTTGCTCTTTAGCCTCTGGCCCACAGACACAGCCACAACTGTGGGCCAGCAGGCTGCTAAGCTGTTTAACAGCACCCCAGGTCGCCACGGGACACAGCAGGGAGGCAGTCAGGACTCCAAGCCTTTCTTTTCCTCCCTAACAACCTGGTTTGTTTCCCCTCCTTTCCCTACAGGACACACAGCAGGCCGCCCCCACCCCCAGCCATCTACTTTGGCGTTGGCTTAGAGAACAAATGATCTCGCTCATGTGGATGAGTTTGCCAGGCTTGTATGGACTTTCCAGTCTCAGGCCCTTATTGTTCTCCTTGAACCCTGACCCCTTGAAATGAGTACCAGGACACCAGAAAATGTTGTGTGTGTTTTTTTTTAAGAAAAACTTACAACAAACAAAAAACAAGGTGTGTGTGTGGAGGGGGGGAGGTCCCAAGATCAAGATCAAATCTTTTCCCTTGTCCTGAAATGCCTGTCACAAAAACTCTGTATCCTTACTACAAAGCAGTAGCCCAAGTCTTGTAATCCCAGCACTCTGGAGGCAGAGGCAGGCAGATCCAAGCTGGAGGCCAACCTGATCTACAGAGCAAGTTCCAGGACAGCCAAGGATACAGAGAAACCCTCTCAAAAAACACACAAAGTAGCAACCCACCCAAGACAATCAACTGAAAATCCAGTCTGGGGGGTAGCTCACAACAAAACAAGGTCATTACTGTGTTCTCTGAGCCAATAAATGGTAAATGGGCCGCATTTACGCGTGAACGTCAAAACAAATCTGCATCAAAATGACCAGTGTTCTTCACCTCAGCACCACAGCCCAAGTAACAACAGAGCAGCCCGGCCCGCAGTGTGGAGACAGTCTGCACTCCAAATCCAAGTGAGCCCCAGAAAGTTAGTTCTACCTCCAACTTCAAAATCAGAGGGGATAAAATCCTATCTTGTCCTTTTCAGACGGACTATAATTTTGCCATTTTATTAAACACAGAAAGACACCCAGTGGCCTCCCTTCCACTTCCCAGGAGAGGAAGGTGCAGCTTCTGAGGGCGCGCCGTCCTGAAAAGTGTGCAAGACTGGAGGCCAAGCCTAACTGGTGGTTTCCTCACATTCTGAGGGAAATGGCAGCTTTAACTGAGTGCTGTTTCACAAGTGGAGTACTGTAAAGACACCTCTGACCCAAGTCCTACTTATTCCCTTCTCTATCAATTATTTATTTGGAAAGAATACACAAGGTCCTTGGTTCAAAACTCAAGACACATGAGTATGTAAGGGGCGGGGGACGACACAACACACACACACACACAGAAAATATAACGCATGACAGACTTGCTATTAAAATTTATTTTTTAATGGTATTCTGTTTTATGCCAGGCTAATTAACAAATTTGGCAAAAACTCAAAATGAGGTTACCCCATATTGCCACAAATGTTTGCACAAAGGCTCTGAACCAAGAATAAATAGGCTTTGGAGATGGCTAACCCTGAAGAGGGCACTCACATATGGGGAGGGGGGTGCAGCTCAGTGGCAAAGTAGCTTCTTTACCATTCACAAGGCCAAGTTCCAGCTTTGGCGCCAGCAAAATAAGTGTCATTCCCACACCGCCACCTCCCAGGGTCATCCTCACTTACTTTAAGAAGTACCTCTGACCCGACGACGTCTTGGCCATCTCCCAGCCTGCCGGCAGCGGTACATCGTCAGGGATCTCAAAGGAAGACTGGCGGAGATGCTGGGCTGCAGGGGTGGCGGCTGGGCCAGAGACCACAGCAGGGGACAGAGTCCCAGGAGACACGGCGCCCAGCTGCAGGGATGCAGGGGAGGAGTGAGCCCGAACGTGCTGCGGGGTCAGAGCCCCTGCAGTGCCTGCATCGGTGCTGGCCTGCAAGGAAGAGGAAAAGGACCATTTACACAACTGAGACAACAGCTCCCGCCCCCAATTTCCTAGGCAGACTCTCATGGCAAGCAAGTGTCTAAATATCAAAAGCAAACCTTAATGTTCAGTTCCGATACTAAGGAACACAGGTGTCCAAATGAGCCACTTTTAAATTATGAAAATTTAACATGCACTATAAATGCTGTTTTACTGAGTCCATCTGAATACTGGGCATTAAAACCCGTTTTCAAAAAAAATCGAGGCAAGAGTTGTTATTTGGTAACAAAGAACATGTTTGTTCTAATCACAACAAAATAAATAAATTTTCCAAGCAGTAAGGTTGCTTTCCAAAGTCCTAGAACAAAACCCAGGGAATTACTATGCACTTTTCTTATACTTTGTTTTAAATAACTAATGTCCTCATCTGTTACTTTGATTGTAAATCAAGAAACCAACCATTATAAATTATACAACTTTTAATGAATTCAAAGGCTCAGAACTGCACCAATGCTAAAAACTACCTAATGAAGAGAATAAGCTAACTCAACCCTCTTTGTGCTTACAAGACAAAGATGTAATCAATTCAATTATAACTTAAGGATCCATACACACATAACAGCAAGAGAAGGGAAAAGAAAAACCTGCAGAGACTCCAAAGACTCGAAAGTGGGTTTAACCAGACTAGTGTTAAACAAGTTATCAGAAATGAACTTGTCTTCATTTCTGTAAATTCGTTTTTCCATGCCAGAAGCACATAGGGTATAAGAATTCTCGGGTAGGAACCTTAGACAATTATTTACAGCTCAGATGCACACTATTCGCAATCTAATCCTTTTACTATAACTGGGGTTTCTCAAAAACGTTTGGTTTCCTAGATTGGGAGCAGAAGGAAACTGAAAAGGACCCAGCAGTCACTTAAAGCTCCGTAGCAAAGGCAGGGGCATTTCAGAGTTTCAGATCAGATTAAGTTTAGGACTAGGAAATCATTAGCATACAGAAAGGGTAAATTTCTTGAATCACAGCTCTCTTAAATTGCTCATCAGAAGGCAAGTGTACCCCACAAACGGCCGGGTGGAAGTCTGGTATTACAAGTAGACTTTCCCGTGGTCGTTCCTACAAAATGGAGCATTCAATCTGCGTGTTCCTTCAAAGTTTCCGCGGCCGTTCGAGATTGCACGCCAACTTACGTTTAGCTCAGTGAGTCCAGAAACCCACTTGTGGGGGAGGAGTAAAGACTAAGTCTACTGTTGCTACAAATTAAGTGTTTAGAGGCTAAATAACCTTTCCTTCCTTCTTAACTCGGCTTTTTGTAGCGAGGTTAATCGAGCTCTTCGGAGCTCCAAAACCCAGTTCTGCGGCAGGCCTGCCTGGGAGGGGGGTTGTTGTGGGGGGGGCGACTCTCCCTTCCACTCAAGTTACAGCCCGAGTGGGCTAACGAGGGCAGTGTTTGGAAAACCAATTAAGTTTTGGGCAAAGTTCCTATGCTGGCTTAACCTAAAGCAAGGTCTTTAAAAACTAAGTAATTAAATGGAGAAGGCGGGGGGGGGGGGAGGCGACACTAAAGAAATCTACCAGGACCTATCGGAATGTTAAGACTCTGAAACGGTTTCACTTCTGTGTAGGATCCAGTTGGGAAAACAACCAGGCGTCGTGGATGTGGATGAGCAGCCATGTTCACATCCGCAGCCAGTTAAAAAGCAATGGCGAGCCTGGGATTAGTCATCGCTTCCCAAACATTACCTTTAATCACAGTTGAGCCAGGCAGGACTCGGCCTATGAGTCAACCTGCAACGCTCTATCAAAGGCCGGCGCGGAGCCTCTGCGCCCAGAGCGCAGCCCAGCTCCTGCGCAATGCGTGCCCAGATGTGGCCGATTTAAAGGCTCTCGGGCCGAACGGTAAATAATGGGTTGCGATCGGGCGAGCGACACGCGAGCCCACCGAGTGTGAAAAGATCCCTCCCGCCCGCCCGCGTCCCAGGGCACGGCGGGGGCGAGCGGGGACCGGGGAGCCCGAACCCTGCACCCGGTCGGACGGCGGCGCCTGGGCCGACAGCAGCAGCTTTGGCGAGCGGGAGGGGGGAGGGGACCGAGAGAAGGAACCAGAAACTCAATGGACCGGTCCAACCCCCACCCCTCACCAACTCTGGGAAACAAGGGGGCCCGAAAACGCGGCGCCACGGGGGGCTGGAGGGGCGCGGGCAGGGCAGGCGCCCGGGGTCCCGCACCAGATGCCGCCCCCCTCCTCCTCCTGCCCTCCCCTCCCCTCCCCCTCCCGCCGGAGCGAAGGTGCGGAACGGAGGCGCGCGCATTGTGCAGCCCCCGCGGCCGCCGCCTCCGGGGCCGCCCAGCCCAGCCCCGCGCCCCGCGCGCCCCCGGGGCCCCCGCGCGCCGCTACCTGCCGCGAGTGGGACTTGGGCTCGGGCGGCTTGAAGAAGGAGTCGGGCAGCTTGCGCAGCCGCATGGGCACGGTCTGCGGCACGTTGGCCGTCTTGGGGTTCATGACGGCGTTGAAGAGCGCCTCCAGGTCGGTCTCCGAGTCTCCGCGGACGTGCACGACTTGGTGGCCGGCCGGGGGCGCGGGCGGGGCCGCGGGGGTCCCCGGCGGGGGCGCGGGCGCGGACGGCGCCGCGGGGCCTTGCGGGGCCGGCTGGGGCGGCGGCTGCTGCGCGGGCTCCATGGCTGCGGCCTCGCTCGACGCTTTCCGCCCGGGGAGCTGCGCTCAGGCTCGGGGGGCCGCGTCGCGGGCCCGCATGGCCCTGCGCTCCTCCGTGCCCGAGGCCGCCGAACCTTCCCTGCCTTCCCCGGGCTCCTCCGGGCTCCCTTTCTTCGCCCCGGCCGCCGCGGCGTCCCGACTGAGACAGAAACTTCGGCTCCAGACGCCCAAACTGAAAAGTTGCGCGGAGCGCCCGCCCGCGCGCCTCGCGGGCTCCGCCTCCTCGCCGCTCTTCCTTCCTCTGCGCGCCCGCCCGCACCGAATCCGCGGCCCGCGGCCCCCGGGGAAACTTTCCCTGCGCGGCGCCGCATTCCTGCAGACTCCGGGCCGCACGTGACCCGGAGGCTGCGGCGCTGCGTGCGCACCGGCCGGCCTGGGGCTGCGCGGCCGCGACCCGGGACGGGCAGCCGCGTGGGCAGGCTGCACGGAGAGCCGTCCGCACTGATTTCGGTCGGGTCTGCGTCCAAACTACCGTCCCAGTTTTGCCATTCGCCAGCGAGTTTGCAGAAAGACGAGCCCAAACCAAACGCGTGGGAGTGCAAACGATGACAAACCGAAGCCTGGAGACAAAAGGGAACGGGGTTAAGTTTTGTTTGAAACGGGCTGGCCGTAGCCAAGGATATCCTGCAGCTGCAGACCAGCTTTGCGCCTCAGCTTCCTGACTGCTAGGCTTCCAAGCGGGGGCCTCTGCTTCCCGGGTTTTGGGAGTTGGTTTAGCTTTGTCGTTTTCTTCTTTTTTCTTTTCTTTTTTTAAAAAATACATTCCTTGTGTGGGAGTGAGCTCCATGTGCCGTCAGACGGCAATCTGTGGGGTCTGTTTTCTTCCTTGCTGTGGGTCTCCTCCGAAATCGAACTCGGGTACCCTGGTTCATCTCACCTGCCCTGTTTTCTTTCTCAATGTAACACAGGTTGACCTGCAAATCACTATGTAGATAAGGCTGGCTTTAAGTTCTGGTCCTCCCGCCTCAGCCTCTACAGGGCCGGGTTACAAATGTGGACCACCTTGCCCAGCAAAGCATTACTTTTTTGTTGTTGTTGTTTAAATCGGAAATCAAGTCAAATTCTTGTTTTAGTTTGATTTTTTTTGAGACAAGGTTGTATCTCTGACTGTCCTGGAACTTTCTTGGTAGACCAGGCTGGCCTCTGCTGGGATTCAAGGCATGCTCCACCATGCCCAGAGTCAAATCATATTTTTTTTAGCACCAAAACTTGCCGCCGTTTAGTCTCTGAGAACTTCAACTCAAAACGTGAACTTGAGGGAGCACGCTCCCATTTCCTCCTGTGTTTGATACAAGGGTAGACAGAGAGACCGCTAAGAGAATGCGCAACGGAGGTCGGCCTAGCCCCCGATCTATCTGGAATCACTCAGAAACGATGAAAATTTGTTTGTTTGCTTTTACTTAATTGGTTTGTGTTGGGTGATTGTCTGTGTGTATGTCTTTGTATTACATGATTGCCTGGGTCCCACAGAGGCCAGAAAAGTGTGTCAGATTCCACGGAACTGGATGTGAGCTGCCATGTGGGTGCTGGGATGCAAACTTGGGTCGTCTGGAAGAGCAGTCAGTGCTCTTACGACTGACTATCTCTTCAACCCATTGTTGAAGTCATGAACACCACACACACACACGTTATATCGAGATACAACTCACATACTATAGTTTTCCACTTAAGCAATTCGGTGCTTTTTGAGTGTATTCCCAGGGTTGTGCAACGCTAATTTTTAAACACATAAATTTCTTCTCTAGAAATCTGGTTTCTTGTTTTAATGATTTTGTCTGTAGTGCAAGTGAAACGGGTATAAATAGGATTAAGCAAAGAAAGGACCCTTGAGCAAAAAGATAATCTCTCCCTCCAGCCAGGACATGCCCGGGAGAACTCTGAGCAGCAATCTATTGCTTCGTGTGGTAGAGCCAGCTCCAGACAGGCACGATTCTAATCAGCTGCTCAGAAGCCTCAGTTTCCTGTCCAAGAGAGGAAGTAGGGTAGCCCTGATTCCGGGATCGGTCCCCAACCCCACCAAGTGCCAAGAGCATTTAACCGCAGTCTCGTGAGTTCAGGAACTAAAGAGTTTGGAGTGCAGGTCCTGGCTCCGCATGCAGCAGCTGTGAGTACTGAGCCAACTGCTGCCTGCCCTCTAGTTTTGGCGTCAGGGTAATGACATCCACCTCACGTTGTTGAGGCATGAAATGAGTCAGTGGACATACAGGACTTGGCCCAGTTTGTGGCTCAGGTGGGGTCCCAGTCATTGTCAGCCATTGCCTCCGCCCCAAGCTTCACTTAGTAACCCAGCCTGTTGTGCCAGAGCCCTGTGGAGTCCTGATAGCACTCCCTCCGTCTCAGAACCAACAATTAATCCTCAAACAGAAGCTTTGGGCAAGACCATCTGCAGAAGAAGGCGTGGTGGCGTGTACCTGTGTCCACCCAGCACCACAGAGGCGGAGGCAGGTGGATCTCTGTGAGTTCCAGGTCAGCGTGATCTACAGGAGACTCTTGTCTAAAAAATTAAAAAAAGAAAAAGAGCCGGGCGTTGGTGGCGCACGCCTTTAATCCCAGCACTTGGGAGGCAGAGGCAGGCAGATCTCTGTGAGTTCGAGGCCAGCCTGGTCTACAAAGCGAGTTCCAGGACAGCCTCCAAAGCCACAGAGAAACCCTGTCTCGAAAAACCAAAAAAAAAAAAAAAAAAGAAAAAGAAAAAAAGAAAAAAGTTGAACTGAAATTATCTGGAAATTTGGGAGGCTGAGGCAGGAGGGAGGATTGCCACGACTTCTAGGTCTGACTGAACTGCACGGAGAGACCCTGTCTCCAGCGGACATGGCGGCATGGTGGGAAGCAGGGGTAAAAGTTTAAAGACGACCTCATTGGCACAGTTGGGCGTGAAGGAACTGGGGCACCATGGGGCTCTGTCTCAAAACAGCAAAACTTTGAGCCGATAGGAAACTCGTGGAGCAAACGTGGATGTGACCATGGCTGCGATGGAAGCTGTCTCCTAGCAACGGCTTTACCACTGTGGACACTAGAATTAAAGGGCTCGGATACTTTGGTCGATAGTCCCACCGGGCTTTACTGAGAACAAAGTTACTGTGGATTACAAGGCCTTGCGGAGGGACCCTATGCTCAGATAGGACCTCTGCATCTTCACTGGGATTGTCCCTTACCATTCTTCCAGCATTTCAGTCATGAGTTACTATGCGATGAGGACCATGGTATTCAGTCTTCTGTCTCCTTGCCTGACACCCCCTACCCCAGCAGTTATTATTGTAAGGCAGCTTTTCTTTGTGTGTGGTTTCCTGAGACATGATCTCAGGCTCTAGTCCAGGATGGCCTTGAACTCACAGCCTTCCTGACTCAGCTTCCTGAGTGCTGAGTTTACAGGCATACACCACCACACCCCACTAGGTAGGCATCTTCCTACATAGACCTACCATTGGCGCTGGAGGGATCCACAGGGGATAAGAGCAGTTCTTCCCGTGGACCCCAGTTTGATTTCCTGCACCCAAATGGCAGCTTATAAGCCCTGTAACTCCAGTTCCAAGAGAACTAACACCCTCTTCTGACCTCTGCAGTCACCAGGCAGGCACATGATGCATGTAAATACACTCGGGCAAATAAGACATTTTTAAAAATGAACCATTGTCCTGGACCATTATCAATGTCTGTGTAGGTCACTAGCTTTACAGTTAGTTGGACTGACTGGGGGGTGGTGGTGCACACCGTTAATCTCAGCACTTGGGAGGCAGAGGCAGGTGGATCTCTGAGTTCAAGGCAGCCTGGTCTACAAAGTGAGCTCCAGGACAGCAAGAGTGACACGGAGGAACTCTGTAGTAAAAAAGCAAACGAACACACAAAACAAACATTTGGACTTTGCAACAGTAGACTTCAGCCTTTGCTCCTCTCTAGCCCCAACCCACGGGTGTCCTGGACACCGCAGCTGGGATGCGGGGCTGTGTCGCGTTCTCCTCTTGACCACCCGCGGGTGTCCTGGACACCGCAGCTGGGATGCGGGGCTGTGTCGCGCTCTCCTCTTGACCACCCGCGGGTGTCCTGGACACCGCAGCTGGGATGCGGGGCTGTGTCGCGCTCTCCTCTTGACCACCCGCGGGTGTCCTGGACACCGCAGCTGGGATGTGGGGCTGTGTCGTGCTCTCCTCTTGACCACCCGCGGGTGTTCTGGACACTGCAGCTGGGATGTGGGGCTGTGTGGCGCTCTCCTCTTGACCACCCGTTGGCCGCGTGGTTTCATCTGCCATGAGCCTCTATCCTGAGCCACCCAGCCCCCTCCTCCTTGTGCTGTTATTTGAACGTTCTGACCTCCCAGAATTAATTCAGGTGGCACTACATCAGAACTTGCTCTCACCCGGAAGTTGTGAGAATCCTCCTGCCTCAGCCTTCCAAGCGCTAGGATGATTTCAGCTCAGCCTTTTTCCTTCCATGCACCAGCACATGGGGCCGGGATCCCCGTCGATTAAAGCCCCCAACCAAGCATTCGGTGCTGTGACCGAGGCTTCATACTACTGTCCCCGTGACAGGACGGTGCTGTGCGTGGCCATTCGCCGTAGAACTTTAAGTTCTGTCCCAGCATCAGATGACACACTCTGTGGTGCGTTGTGAGTTCTGTAACAGCATTCTGTAGCTGCCTGGTGACCAGCACATTATTTCTTGTAAGAATTTATCATGTGTTAAAGGCATTAAACTTAGCATTTATGAACCGAGCTCCTGAGGCTGTAACAGCATTCTATAGCTGCCTGGTGACCAGCACATTATTTCTTGTAAGAATTTATCACGTGTTAAAGGCATTAAACTTAGCATTTAGGAACCGAGCTCCTGAGGCTGGCTCCAGGACTTGGGAGGCTGAGGCTGAAGCAGGAGGATTTCAGCAAGCTCAAGGTTGGCCTGGACTGCCCATCCAGACTAACCTAGCTACAGCACAAGACTCCATCCAAACAGACAAATTAATGAACAAGCAGCCAAGAATGGCGGTGCCCGTCTATTGAACCAGCATGGGAGTTTGATTCATGATGGCCACAAGTATGAGGCCAGCTTGGCAACAGTGAGTTCCAGGTCATCTGAGACTGCATAGGGATATCCTGAGCAAAAATGAAAAGTAAGACACGTAGTGGTGGCGCATGCCTTTATATCCCAGCAC